AAAAAGGCACTAGCTGCAAATATTTTGGCAGTAGATTTGAGCGCACTCTACAAATTGCAGTTATTTAAAAAGAAAAATGAAATAAAGATATCTAGCGTACTCTACAAATTGCAATTAGTTAAAACTAAAAGTACATAGATCAGTTTTAATTTTAAAAATGACACTATGTACTGAAATTTCAAAAGTTAATTTAATTTTCATAGAAAAAATAAAGCTGAATTTTATAATTTCAAATCGTAAATTTATATTCATCTTCGCAAATGAGAAGATACGCATATGATACTTCGAAGTTTTTTGGGCCGGAGAACTCGAATCTGTCATCCATTTGCCTTGAAATACCATTGGCTGAGCAGGGACCAATAGAAATCAAGTTTTAGGAAAAACGACTTTCTTAGGGTAAATCAAGGCGAAGAGTTCAAATCTGAGCTGTACTCATCCACAAATCCTATTGGTTGAGAGTAGCCAATGGAAATCAAGTATTTTATAGAAAAGGTTTGCCAGGATAATTTTGATGTCCACACATTCTAGGATGACTCATCTGGCTCATTCACTTTTTGAAATACACACAACTCTCGGATTTAAATCCGAGGTTTTCGCATTTATTTTTTACTAAAATTCAGCATAGATTACTTGAACCTTGCTTTCAAAATATTTTGGCATACGAGTGATATGGAGCATGCTTATGGAATTGAATCCTCTCCGTATGTTCTAACTACAGAGAATGCTAATACTCTTTTAAGACGATTTTTATTTAGTGAAGTATTAAATAGACTTCTTCGACAAATATTGACTGAACCAACAACAGACAATATATATTATCTTGTTGATGCGCTCTCTATGATTCTAACCTTGTCATCGTTCGTTCAGTGAGTTTGATGTAAATTTTTGTTTTAATTCAGTGTTTTTTTTTAATTTCTATTGATCATTGTCTATGGAAATAAGTCGTTTATTAATAAAAGAAAAATTGAAGAGTACAACAACTTTTAGTGTTTGTTGTGTAATTTGGAATATGTCGAGTATTGATCAATCTCATTTATTGCATAATCTCAGGATTAAGTATTATTGTTATGTGCTCCAGTAACAACGGCTGCATAAGAACGTTTTTGTGGATTTTTAGTACAAGTCATCTATGAAAAGAATAGTTTTAAATAAGATCATAATGTAAAAGATTATTTGTAACCTCATGATTATTAATCTCGTCTCTAAGCCACGGTTCATGACAGTGCTTGCAACGATATGCCGCAGGAATTGTGTAAATCGCACTTTAAAAGACAAGTCAAAATCTCACATATTTTATAAAATAAGATGGCTAGACTAACCATTGTTGTTCTTGGTTTTGAGATTTTGGTTTGTGAATGCAAGATTTCTATTAAAATAAAAATAAGAGAAAAAAGTCTCGATCAAACTTACTTGATGATCACTGAAATGATTCAATTTAATGGATTCATTACAAGACTGACATGTAATATAATCAGTATCATCGTTCTTATTATGTTGATGGAGTGTGGATAAATCTACGTACAACACGAATGAAAATATTAAAAAAATCAGTAGCTCAATAATTCAGAAGAGAACAATCTCAACTTTGATTAGCATTTGCATTGTTTCGTTTAAGATTTCTTTTTTCAATATTCTTTGGATTAAAGAGACATTTATCCTGCACAAACACAATATGATCATAATTGAAATCTTAATGAAAAGTAATTTTTATATGAAATAGTTACTATGTGTATTGCGTGGTCGCCTGCGTAACATTGTTCGTTGCAAAACTTACAAACGACAGTTACTGGCATTCCTAGACACAGGAAATTATTTTTAACATATACAAAACGATTAAATGATTATCCTACTTATTGACTGTGATGGTTCGGTTCGTTGTTTAACAACCACTGCTATTGCATTTTGATTTTGACTTTTAGTAATAACCGAGTTTGAATTAGATCTATTGGAATCGATGAATTCATCTAGAGTAGCACAATTATTTTCAAAGTGATAAGCAAATATGGCTCTTCGAATGAATTTTTTGCACTTGGGACATAGATCTGTTTTATTTCCACATTTTACCAAATGTTCACTCAAAAGTTTTGAGGACGGGAATGATTCCGGACAGAATGAACATGAAACGCATTGATTTGAACAGTTGGTGGTCTTGAAAAGACAAAGAAAAACTTGTTACAAGATTAGAGTAAAAGTAAAACATCTATTATACCTGATGTTCATCGAGAGCTTGTTTATCATAACACACTTTTCCACATTTACAGGTCAACGATGATTGAAGTTCTTTATCCATGTTTATTTTTCTTTTTGAGATACTTAGCTTTTTTCTTTATTTTGAAATGAATATATTCTATCTATAAAAAAAAGTAAAACATTGTCATGCATAAAAATAAACTCATATAAGCAATGAGTCATTTCTCAAAAATAATCTTATTAAAGTTAACATTTTAGTATTAAACTTATAAATATTATTAATTAGAAAAATAATTGTTAAAACAGAGAGAACTTCTAATATTTAGACCTTTATCATTTTTAGGAATGGTGATAATCAAGTTATTGTAAAAACGTTTTTAATTAAAAATTATGAAAATAAACTAAATACACTAGAAGACTCTTCTGAAAACGTTCCACACTTGAACATAAGAGAGAATGCAAAGTCTTCTATCGCAGAGGCGAAGGATATAATAACATCATTAAAAGTTAAATATGAATAAAACTTATCTTTATCTAAGATTGATGACTCATTTTATGATCAAATAATAATAAACTTGTTTGCCATACAACTTAGTTGGAGTTGAGCAATGCTTATACATTTGTGTCTAATTCGAAGTAATATGTTTTTATCCTAACAGTTTACTAATAGGGACAAATTGATCATATTAGAATTTGCAAAGAATTTTATCGTACCTTTTTTATTCGTAATGGTGTGGACATCAGCAATGACATTGTTATTTACCCTTGAAGTGTGCTGTTGCCTATGTCAACGAAAAAGAGAAGAAAAAAATAAGAATTTATTTAACCAAAGAGTAAAAGAAGTTGGGAACTTTTTTTTTTAAACTTGCTATAAATATAATTCTTGCTTGTTTTTATCTACGAAAAAAAAAAACCAACGCAATCAGTAATAATTAATTAAGTTATCGATCTGAAAGATCAAACAAGAAAATTCGATGATTTTTTTTTCTTATTTATTAAAGAATGAAAATAATTTTTTTTTTTCAGCAAAATTAGTCAAAGAGAATTATTTCAATGTTCTAGTGAAGAATAACGAACTTTTTTTTTTTTTTATTTAAAATTTCAACAAAGAACAAAGCTAATATTATAAAAAGTGAATTCAATACAATCTATTATTTATATACTTAATTCTACATGAGTTTTATTTAATCTCATCTGTAGATGTTCACCAGCAGTTAAAACATGTCCATCATTATTATCATAATCACTAAAAATATGATTTGCATGTTCATCTTTTGTATAAATATGATTTTCAATCAATTTCGATGGTAGAGGAGTAAGTAGTGTATCTCCATTTGGATCACAAAAAAAAGCGATAGAAAATCGAGAATGATTTTCTTCATTAACATTTGGTACAATAACTCGATGAATTGTACTTTTGATCATTCCTTTACTCCAAAATTAACTACAATCATATCATCACGAGCTTCAATTGGATACCAAACATTTGTTAAACGATCAAATACTTCAAGACCAGATTTATTATCATGTTGAAATATAAGCGTAAGTGATCCATAATCTGAATGAGCACCCTTCAACAATAATATAAGATTATCTTACACGAGAACATATTCTATTGTCGAACGCCATTCGACTACATATTATCAGTATGAGTAAATCTCAATGAAACTAATATAAGATAAAAGTGATTCGAGCTTGTGTCCTACTAGTAAAGAGTTATATTCATTTTAGTGAAAATTTTACTGAGAGTAAGATATTTTCAAAAAACCAACACAATCATCAAGTTTATTTGAAAATTGACTATCTCGAAAAAGTTATGTTCGTTATTGTTGAAACTTTTAGAACTACCAAGTCTGTCATTAAACAAAATGCCAGTTCTAAACTCTGTATTTAAAGTTTTTTCGAAAAAGCCTTGTTCTGTGTAAAAATCTTCTTAAAATGACTACTTTTCTTTATCAGTAGGTCATGGATAGGCCCGTATGCTTTCAAGTTTTTCTTAATCTCAAAGACTTCTTACTAAATATGATAAAGAATTTTTCCTTGCTCAGAACAAATAATATGTTTATATATTGAAGTCTTACCGCTCGAATCACATTTGTATTTTGTTCTACTTGATTTATTGGTGGATAATATAATAACTTAAGTGTTACACCTGGTTCCTTATTTCATTTATGTCTCAATGTAAAATAATCTCGATCAATTTGAAATATTTCAGCTAAGTATTCCAATAGACGCATACAAAGATCATAGCATTGTCGAAAAGATTGTTCGATTAATTTGAAATTTTTCTCATGAAAAAATATATTAGGCAACATATCTTTATTATTTAAACTTGATTGACGAATTGCAAATCCTTCTTTTACATCAAGAAGTTTAGAATTAGTTGTATCAAGATTTTCATGGCCAATTTTTAAATAACCTTGATAAGATGTTGTATTCGGTGAATAAAAACGTTTTTCATTATGAGAAAGACAAAAAAATTCTTTCGTCAAAGAAAACATTCGACTTTGTAACGAATTTAATCCATGATTTGATATATAAAAGAAACCTGTTGTTGAACAAGCCAATAAAAGAGATTGACGAATATCATTCGGATTTGATTTAAGATCAATTACAGGTAAAAATGAAAAAGACATTTGTTTGTTTTACACACACTTCTTTATTTGAAATGAATAAGAGATAAAATTCTCATTTAAAAAATTAACACATGTAACGGTTGTTGTTTTTTTGTAATTCTTATCTGATACGTTATTACAATAAGCTATTTTGTCAACATAGTTCTTTGACCATAATAAATTTTATGAAATACTTTTTATGAGATCTATAATTCTAAATACACATAGACATAAGAGGATTTCCTAACTATATCAAATTCGAATAGTTAAAATATTAATTTACATTGATTATTGTTTTCAGCTAGCTTTCTATGAATGAATGTGATCATGTCTCAAAAGTTTCGGGATTTAACCATGATTTTTTTTTCTTAACCCATTACGAATGATGAAGAAAAGAAAAAGTTTAGATCTTTAATATTATTCATATGGTTTGTCTCCGTCAGTATTGCCATCAGTCATTGTCAATGGGATATAAATGTAATACACAACAAAGTGTCAAGAATATAGAAAAAAATCAAGATCATTACTGGTCAATTAAGACCTTTCATTAATTAATTATTATTACAATTGAATTTTAATAATAAAATTTTGAATTTTGTTGGATTGATAAAAGATATTTCTATTTAAAAAAAATTAGTATGATTTCGAAAAATAGAACTATACAAAAATAACAGCAGAAATACTGTATATCGTAGCAAGTCTTTTTCATCAGATGTTGTTAAACATTGTTACTCGAGAAATAAACATTGTCTACAACAAAAATCGTGTAATTTCATCTCGTTCATATGTTTTTCAATTTGCTAGAGAGTATGTTAAACAAAAATATATAGTATGACATAGGCAATTTATGCTGCATAACTCCTAAAATCAGTTAGATTACGACACGGTAGAAAATTGAAATGATAAATTTCATTAGAATGGCAAACACTATATCTTTCCCATTGAGAAATATTCTGTTTTAGTTCCCTGTATTGCTTTTATTCACTTGATTATTTATACTATTCCCTCGTATTACATAAAACTAATGTGACACACTACCACACTTTTACTATATTTACCCTGGAAGATGTTTGCTTTGTCTTCAATGGTTAGATTTCTTTTTATTTCGGATGAAATATCTTTAGAAGACAGATGTTTTAAGTATTCGAATAAATATTTATTTGACTTGTGTAATTTAGTAGACAATGAACATTTATTAGAACTAGTAAATACTTATGAATTTTGAAAAACTTGTCTGCAGGAAGGATTTTCTATTAAAGGTTGAAATCGATCGAAAAGGATTTGTTGATTATTTGTCTATTTTTGAAAAATGAACATAATAGTCTACTTCGAACTACTCGTCATGTTCCGTAAATGCTTATGATATATTGAATATATTTATTCTTGAAAATTTTCTTGACACATTCTAATTTTATGTCAAGAAGTCTGTTTAAGAGATTATTGAGTTTCTAACGATTGTATTGATCCTTATATCAGTATACTTTTCTGTACCTTTCTTCTGTCTTTTCCCACCTTTCTCTATGTACTAATAGGATCTGTTTACTGTCACTTGTCGCAAATTAGAAAAAAGAATCATCATAAAATATTATGACACATCTTGTGACCATTTCAACCTCTATTATGAAATTGATACGTTCGAATCAATTCTTTTTACTTGGATCAACAGTTAAAATGGAGACTGCTGCCTATTTCATCTACAAGACATTTAGTCATTGTCAAAATATATCAACATTTGTATCATTGGTGAATCAAACAAATTATTAGCAGCATCTTGTATATCATCAAGATTATAGAGGACTTTATTACGAGGGATCCATGGTAAAGCCATCATCTTTTGATATGACAAAATAAATGTTTAATCAATAAAATATTGTTGCTGAAATGTGAGCAACGATATAATTGATTTTTCTTTTTATGAACTTTCTTTCATATTGTTTTTGACCAAAGTGGAGATTACTATCTAAATCGTATTTTTGATAAATAATATTAAGATTTTGAAGTTTTCAATGCAAGAAAAAAATTTTCTATTCTTATCTTTTTCACTTTATGTGAATTTTATTTTGGTCTATTCCTATTATTAAGAATATTTGCTATAGAAAGAAAGCAAACAATTGTCGCCAATAGAGGTGTAAGCCGTCGGTCTAAGTCGCCGCCGCCGCCACGGAATCGTAGATAATTTTAAGAATTTTTTAGGAGTCGCCGCTGTGAAAAAGTAAGTTCAGCCGGTGCGCCGCCGTCACGAACGAAAACTTTTGATAATAGTATAAGGCGCCGCCACCGTTGACATCGATACATATGCAAAGACGTTTTTTTTCTTTTTTTGGTTGTCAAAGCCGCCGCCGGTGCAGAAAAACATAAAGTCTAGCAGCAGCCGCCGCTATGGAAGAAAAAATTAAAAATTGACGCCGCCGCTGCCGGTGTACAAAAACATAAAGTCTAGGAGGCGCCGCCGCTATGCAAAAAAAATTGACCGTTAAAG